ACTTGGCTGGCAGCCCCCTTGGCCCATGCCATGTAAACTGCTTGCTAAAACAAACAGGCGATTGTTTCGCGCGCTCGGGCTCAATGGAGGCCATGAATGCCGTCTGGGCTGGGCGTCGTCCGCCCCGCCCTCCCCTCCTCCCCACCCGCGTGCGCCCGGTGCGCGAGAGGGCCCCGCCGCCGACGACGACGACCATTGCGCGAAGGTGGATGCGAGTGTAATTTTTGTGACGGTGCGTTGGTTTTATGGTGGAGCTGGTGCGGTTGTTGAGGTGGGTGGGCGTGCGCGGGCGCGGCGCGGGCCGCCCAGCAGTTCATACCATTATCAACGTCCCGAGATCTCCCGCGGGCGCGGGGCGGGGCGATCAGGAGGCATGAGGTAATGAGTTCGGGCTGCCGCTGCACGACGCCGTGTACGCAGCAGCCCGTTCCACGCAAATGATGAGGAGGAGGAAAGACTTGTACGGGTGGACAAGGATGAGGCCCTGGCCCTGCTGCTGCTGCTGCTGCGCGCGCCCCAATGTTACCAGCTTGGTCATTACTCTCGGGGGGCGGCCTGCAGCAGGGCCGCGGCGGGGGCGCGCTGGAGGGGGGGGGGATGACTCACCCACTCACCTGGACGGGGAGGCGCCGGGCGCGCCGGGCCGGGGCATCTATCTACCCTACATTTGTTCCTGTACCCGAAATACACGGCCGGTCGCTGTTTTATGGCCATCAAGTGGGTGTCGTCTAGTTGTTGTTGCGGCGGTTGTGGTGGTTGCGTGAGCCGCGGTCGAGTTTAGTTTAGTACGGCCGGTGGACATGAAGGGGTGGCCCTGCCGTGCCGTGCCCGGCCGGCTCGCGCGCGTGTTTCGGAGAGGAACCATCACCGACTACAACAAACTACACGGCCCTCGCGACCAGCCTACTCCATCATGCACTTTGGCGCTTTGTCTCCAAATTAGGACGGCATAAAACTGTTCGATTGGACGACCGAGATAAGTTAAAGCGCGCGCGCGCGGCTGCCGGGCTGCCGTGTCGTATTGCTATACAATGATGCGAGCAAGTGGGGGGCCGCCGGGCGCAGCTTTTATAAAAATAACGAGAAAATTACAGAAAAGCGTTGGACGGGATGGACGCGTCATAAAATCGGAGCAGCTGTCGCGTGTGCGGCCGCACTCAGCCCGACCATCAGGCAACCCGGCCGACATGCAGCAGCCGGGTGGTAGCTGCACGTGCAAGTCCGGAAACAGAAACATCAAACACAAACTGGGAGCATATAGCAGGCCTAGTGCCACGGAGGGAGCCTTCCCGCGAGGCGGTTATATTCAGTCAAAAGAAGACCAAATTTAAGTAGTTTGACATACGGCGCAAAGCGAAATCATTGTGTCTACCTCAAACCGCGTTAAATGGCACTGCCTGGCACTGCGTTTCGAGAATAACGACCACATCGACGTCATTTTGATTAGTGCCTTGCGCAGCTACCAACCCAAGCTGGGCCCCATACAGCGGCCGCACCCGCGCCCCGCCCGCGCCACGGCCAAGGCGGCGCCCCCCGGCGAATGGCGAGGCCCCGGCCAGCACGGGCCCAAGGAGTCCTTTCTCTGCGTGATAGACAGGTAACAGATACATTCCGATGTCAATTTATGGTTAATAAATTAAGTGAGACTGCGGAGGCGCGGGAGGATAGCGGGCGGGGCGTGGCGAGGCGCAGCGGGGCTCGGTGCCCAGCCCAGTGTGGGGTCGCGGCCCTGGCCGCGGGGCGCCTCGGTGGGTACCCCGCGTTGGTCAGCACGTCAGACTGCGTCAGCCCGCGTCAGCCGTCGGCCGGGGCGGATGTCTGACTAAATCACCCGAAGATGGAGCGGCTCAAGCTGCGAAGAAAAAAAAAAAGATCCGTTCTACGAGCAGTAGTGCCAGTTTTCAAAACCAGTGACAGTCTAAGAAAAAAAAAAGACGAATGTGGGGCGACTGTGTATTGGATCAATTCTAATACGCCCCCTCCCCTCCCCCCCAAAAAAGTAGTCTCCGCTTTGCATTTGAGGCATATTAGTAACCCTATCCCGCCCGAGGTGGCTGGTTCGACATGCTCGATGACGGGTTGCCTATCTTCTCTGACCATTGCGCCATACGCGACAAGCAAGTATGCATGCAACCCGTATGCAACCCATCCGCACGCGTGCATCCGGTACAGTATAACTAGAAAGAAGAACAGCGTCGATTGGTCAGCCCCACCCAGTTTAAGTCTAAATATTTCCCTCGACCTAAAAATAAGGAATTCTTGTGCTATTTATTTCAAGGTTCCTAATAAGTCACTGATAAGAAAATGGACCACATACCCCCTTTTCCCGGTGGGGTGTCTTTGTTATCGAGGGCTGGACCACTTGGATATTCCATCTACAAACTGAAAAATTTTCCAGGTATTCCAAAAGTATGCCAGATATTCCACAAATATTCCACAAATAATCCAGATATTACCAGGTGTACTCCAAAACTCTGAGTGGTCGACCCCTTGTTAGCTATGCTATAGTTTTTTGATACCGCATGCACTCGTGTTAGTGGATTGTGGATTGCCTACTGGCTCGGGGCCAGAGCCTTTGGCAGAGACTGTTGTGAATAACGGTACCGATATCCCTAGATGCGGCCTACAATTTCTGACTTCCACTTTGATCCTTATTTCCGTTTCCGTTGGTGCGCAAGTCGCTCGATCCGCTCCCCAGCCCCGCGGTCTATGGGCGGCTACATTGTACAGGCACCACATTTGCGCTGCAGGGGCGGCACGGGCCGAGCCCAGTATGTCGGTGGGAACTGCCATGTCGGCAGTGAAACAATCCTCGGCCGTGGGGCGCCACGTATGAATGCGAGGCTGCGCGCGGCGCCAAGACATGCCAGCCGAGTCGGCGGGGTCGCAGGGGTCAAAGGTCTACCGGGGAGACTACACCTCAACCACTCTAAGTGTACGTTCTCGTGTCGTTGACAAAAAACTAGTCGAATGCACACTTACCTCCGAATCCCTGAGAAAGTCCGCCGTGACGGAGAGCTCCATGCCGCGTCCCCGGGACGACCTGCGTCGGCGCTCTTCCTCGTCGTCGCCGTCCTCGTCCTCCTCCTCGTCGTCCTCTTCCTCCTCCTCTTCCCCTTCCTCGTCCTCGTCCTCCTCGACGTCGTCCTCCGTCACGGGGTCGTCGGGGGCGATGCAGGAGCGCAGGGCCTGAGCGGCGGGGCCCCAGCAGTCGTCGCCCACCGCGGCCCCAGAGCCGCCGTGGACGTGGCCGCCATGGCCGTAGCCCAAGTCCATGATGGAGGGGGGAAGCGGGCTGCACATGGGTGCCGGCCCCAGGCACCACCGGAGGACGTCCACCAACACTTGGTCGTCAACCACACCTTGGTCGTCAAACACCACTTGATCGTCAACCACTGGAGAGCAACAACCACACCGCGAGCGTTAATCACAATCACCAAGAATCGCGCCTTATCCGGGCGGGTTCAGCGGCTGGACGCACCATCACTGGCCACAACTGTAACTCGGACCTAACAGAGTCGGAGCACAACGGGAGCACTGCACGGGGGTTGAGGAGGGGGTGGGGACAGGCGGCGCGGCAGTCACGGGGTATATATGCGTGATGAGCCTGTGTCGGATGTCTCCGGCTGATCCACCGCGCCAGCTGGGCGGGGCGGGTGCGG